AGACAGAGCCACGGCTACGGCTAAGGCCAGAGCCACAGCTCCAGTAAGCTAGTTCTTTCCTGCAAACTACTCTTGCTATTACATTTTGATCACGGCCCCGTGCTGCCGTTTGAGTTATTTTATTTTGTTTACTTTATTTATGTTTAAAACTTATTTTGGTCTATAAAGACATTATTACTATAAATAAATAATATTGAGTAAAAATTTGCATTTCTGGTAAATACTTCATTTATCTTCTTGGACATTACAAAATACGAAGGTAAGTCAATTTATATTATTCCATTTATTTAAAGTTAATAATCTGAGTAAAGAACGATAAAGCAATAGATCTATAATCTGCTTTTAATATCAAGAGCTATTTTGCTAGTTTGTTCACACCTGCTACACATACACATTACAGGGTCTCGAGGGTCGGATTACCGCCCCGTGCCTGAAAAGAGTTTAAAAACCTAATGTGTATCTGATTATATTAATAGACACTTCGACTGGGTGTTCGAGGGTCGGATTACCGCCCCGTTACCTCAGTGTCCTATTAAAGGTGTTTACAAGTTTATTAGCTCATATTCCTCAAGAAAGAGAACATGCTTTTATTTCTTCATATCTACTTGTCTTTATTGTTCTAAACCCTCGAACCATACGACCCCGATAGAACCACAACATCAGGTTCTCAATATACCCATCATTTATCTTTCATTTTCATTATTTATATTTTACCAACTCTGCCTTCTATATTTTTGAATTATAACAGTACTGATCTATCCTAAATAGAGCAGCAAGTAAATGATCTCTAATCAAGAAAAGAATCTCAATAGATAAGTTGAGAAGAGTCAAATTTCAATTATATTTGTTTGATATTAATTTCTAATCGAGTCATTTTCACTTATCACAAACACCGGAAAATAGCTTATAACGGAATGACGTATTTGATAAGTCCTACTCGATTTTGTTTCTAAGTAAATTTTGAACTTCATATTTGTAACCAGTGAGTAATGTTTTTAACTAGAATAAAAGGTGAGATTATTTTACAATTATTATTAACACAGTTTATAATAAATAATGACTAATAAATAAAAATATGAAATTGATCTTGTTTATTACAACATTTAGGCTTCCTACAGTACTCATAATTTCTAATGTTACATACATTGTGAAACCATTGAATAAAATTTGAAATACTAATATCGAGCAACCAATACTATTAGACACTCGGTCAGTTCTATAAAAATTACACTTAGAAAATATTTATAGTTTTTTTTATCGCAAGAGCATTGATATCAGCAAAGAATAGAGACAAGATCAGCCGACTGGAGATAACGTGTTTCGAACACCATGCTGTCTAGTGTAACGTACGGTAATTTCAAGCTTGAGGGTCGTCTTTCTCTCTCTTGTTCTCTTTCTATCTCTTGTTAATTATCAACATAAAACATTCACAAGCACACGAGCGTTACTTATTCTCGTTGACGTGTCCACGCCGCCTATAATGCACATTATGCATTAAAAATTGCATATCATTATTTGTATTATTTTTGCGCATAATACCGCAGAAGGATTAACGACATGATTGACTATTTGAACAGGCCACGGGGAAGATTTTGCTGATACCACTTCCATTTTATATCGATAGTACGACAATTAAAAACTCGAATTTATGTTTTCCTACAATTCCTAGCCCTGAGGCGTTCGTGATGGCGGTTTCGTTTTATGGCACTGTGTAATAATTTACTGGAGTTAATTTATAATATTTATTGAAATGCCGAACGACTAGTAATATTACAATGCAGAAAACAATAAGTACCACAGATTTGTAATAATATATGCCGCATTATAAACTAGTATTTCAAATAGTAAACTATAAGATTTATATGTATTTTATAAGCCCAAAAGCCCCGACATATTATTATTATACAGAAGAAACTACAATACAATAATTAATTATTTAAAGGTTTCGGGCAACATTCATCCACCAAGTTCGTTTCCAGTACATTTTTTGTTTTAATATTTAAGTAATTAATTTAAAAAAAAATTTTTGTAAAAAGTATTCGCAAAAACAAATCAAGTTTCTCGGAACACAAGACGTGCGTTCTCCGAATGGACATAATATTTGGTTTGCAAGAACTGGCGAGAGAACAATTATTTTGCTTACGCAACCAGATAGCCACATTTGCATTATTATTTAGATATTATTACCAAATTATTATCTGATCACATATTGATGGTTCCTCAGATCTTTCAGAGAGTCTCGGCAAAATTGAGGCGACACCAAAATAAACTATTTTTATTAATACACTTTATATGTCCTGATGTTATATATGTTGAGAAACTTTTTAAGTAATTTACTAAATGGGGATCATTTTATATTTGGAAATTCAACAAATTTAATTTCGCAATAATTTTTATTTTAAGTGAAATTATACCTAATTTTGATCGACTCATTGTATAATATCAAAATTATTTTCAGATTCTAAATTCTTGTCCAAAGTATTGTTATTGTTCCATTGTTACAAATACTATAGGTAAGGCTGCGCAAGGAATATGCGAAGCTGTGTTTCTTTCTTCGCTATTTTCTAAATTATATCTATTTAATTGTTATTTGTTCATAATTAGCGAAGTATTTCCAAAAAATATTTTTTTTATTTCAAAGTGTTTACTGATTTACTAGCGTAAAGTCTTCAATATAAATAATACATAAGTTTTATTTTTCTAGGGAATACAATGGTTAAAACAGTTGATAATGGTTATACTCCCTAAAACACCACTATTCACATTCAAAATAACAGACAAAGGTAATTATAATCGAAAAATTCAATTTTCTTGATGTAATATGAACAATCCCAAAATTTTATAAAGGCCCCACAGAGAAAATTGTCTGAATGAAACACTAATCCTAAACGTGACCCCTCGCAAAACCGTTTTAAAGGGCCTTGCAATCAATTAAATGGCTAAAAAAGGTCCTATTTTTAATTAAAAAACTTCAAAAGTCCGCAAAATCGCTTAACACGAGGCTACGCGATTGCTAGCGCCAACTAAACCTGACTCTGAGTTGAATGCAATTTAGAAATTTTAAAAATAATGCTGGAAAAGTTGTCGAATCAATTGAAATATTAATGCAGAGTTGTGGACATATTCAGGTCATCGAAAAAGTACTGCATCAATAATAAATTATACCTTAGCGAAACTTTATGAATTCCCTAAAAAAATGAACGTAAGTGAACTATTAAACAAACTGAATATTTTCCATATTATTAATGTATGAATGATAGATAATTTAGAATATCGTAGCAGGTAAATTTTGATTGCAGCTAGCTGTGTGTATGTGTTAGAATATTGTCTAATAATTTTAGTATGTTTTATCATTTAACAAATGGTAATATTATTAAAAAATATTACTCGTAAAGTGACTCTAATCTCTTGTAATAAATAATCCTTATAGATGTGTAAAATATTTCACTAATGATTATTAATTGAATTTGATTGTTTACCGTGGAATAAACTTGTCTTATAACTTATATAAACCGAAATAAAATAAAACAAAACCATAATTTTTTAATACACATAATTTCCACAGAATATTTTCACATAACTATAAATGCATTCAGACTGTATTTGAATACGAAAAGACCTGAATGCATTATATTTTTTATTTATATTTATATTTTTCAATATTATGTTTGTATTATATTCTTTGTCCATGTAAAAAGGTGCCAATGTATACAAGACGTGCTGAAGTTTCTCACATTCTGAAAGACAACATTGACTTATTATTAATAATTTTACTATGAACATACATATCAGGTCATTTGAGGTTTTAATATAAATTTTTTACCATAATCTAAAGTGTACGTATTAGCATACACACACACACGTTTATATTATAATATCACAGTTTTTGTAAATTTTCAGAATGATCAAAAAACAAATTAAATTCATACATGTTCTACCACAAGAAGTGATTTGATTTTTATAACATGCTATAAAACTATTAGTCATACAAACATATATGAGAAACACTTATTATATCATTGTCGATAAAAAAAAAAAATGATCAATTTTTGAGGTCGCAGTATATGCGACGATGTATAAATGTTGATCACGTTTCGTATCGATACTTGTATAATAGTTTTTAACCAAAAAACACTATTACAGATTTTAGTATTTATTGATCGATTTCCATTTAAAACCACGTAAATGACCAACAATTTCTGTAACGTTACTAATTTTAGCTTAATGATTGATGATAATCATATAACTAACTGAAAAACCTAAGTTATTTTGACGATAAACTAAACTAGATAAGTTAAAAAGTTAATTATATGAAAATTTTTGAACCGTTGGTTCAGTCTATAATATCACTACTAGGGAGGTAATAAATAAGCGGTGGACGTTTCTAACGACAATTCTTGATAAGCTTGTGAATCACATCTAATACTTTCGCTTGAATAAAATAATCGTATTCGAGGTAATAGTTCCAATATGTTTTTTTGTAATTTTATACGCATACTTTCACAATTTGTAGATTTTGAAAATTCACTAATTAAGAAATTAAGTACTACTCAAATGTTTTTGTAATATACATTATGTCACTACAGTCGGTTTATTCATTTATTGAACGATTAATAAAATTATAAAATAATTAAATCTTAACTGGACGCTCGCGTAACGTGACCAGTTTTTTAGCTGTATTTTCATCATGCTGATACTGACTCATTACTCGCCTATTAAAANCCAGTTCTTTAGCTGTATTTTCATCATGCTGATACTGACTCATTACTCGCCTATTAAAAATTTGTAATCCATACTCACTAAAATCTATAAGATATCCAATATTTGTTGAACATAACTAATATATGTGCTCAAACTTTGAAATAATTTTCACCTTGATGTACATGAATATATTTTGTAATAAACAATTGTTTTCAATTGTAAGTATGCCGACCACATAAAATAATTCTAATCATTTATGTACATGTTCGGTATTATTTGAATTTCATTTACCATCATTTATATTTGTCAACTGAGAAAGAGAGGTCAAGCTGGTCATTAATGACGTATAGCTCAAGCACATACGGAGTAAATTATTGATGCCGCATAATCAACAGGAACTGGTTTTGTGCATTTTTACAACTGAAGTATGTGTACATATATTATTCAGNGCATTTTTACAACTGAAATATACAACTAAATAACTAACATTATATTATAATAATAGTTTTGAAGGATTTAGTTTAGAATTTATCTAAGAAAATTTATAAATTTATAAATATTATTTACTTGTTAAAAATTGATGTAAACAACAAATTAAAACCAGAAATTGAAATTGGAGATATGTATACTTTATATTATTAATTTGGAAAGTCCTTTATGACTAATTGAGGAGACAGTAATGCGCAATTATAAAACGTGTTGTTAAGTATTTATAAGTTTTAATCTAATTTTTTTTAGACTCAAAACAAATGGAACCAATTTAAAAATTATTCAATTATGATTAATATTTTTATATCAAACGAATGAAGTTTTTAAATACAATATCCAGTATATAAATGTGCAGCTGTTAGAATGAACTAAAATTTCGATTTGAAAACTACCTACTAATATTTAAAAACATTAGTATAATTTAGTTATTCAATTTAAAAATTAAAAAAGAGTTCAAGATTTTAAAATATTTATTCATCCAAAAAAATGTATTAGTAATACTAGTAGTGGCATTATGATAAGTGGTTGTAATATTGAACTGGTTTTGGCATTTTTACAACTGAAATATGTGTACATATATTATTCAGTGTACACTACAAGTATGTTCAGGGTGTCCCAAAAAAAAAAAAAAAAA